AAACCCATGAAATCCAAATTCCACGCGTGTGAAGTCGCGAGGAACAGCTAGTATTTAACAATGAATATGATTAATGGCTATATTGAGCAATTACATCAAAAATCTACCAACGCGGACGTAGTCGCGGGTATCAACTGCTTACAACAGCGGGTAACATCTGTTTACAAATGACAAATATATCGCGTAAATACATACGAAAAAAAAGTGAGTTGAGAGTAGGCTTACCAGATGAAAAAATCAAAAGTCCGGAGAAAAGGCGAGATTTCCATTGAAAAATCCTAATATTTTTACAGTTTGAGAAATTTCTCTCCACGTACTTAACAATTTAAAAAAGTCATAATATTACAGTTTTTATACACTGTGGATCTTGGTCACGCGTTGCACATCGCACTAAGAGCTGCGAGGGGGGGGGGGGGGGGGCACCGCCCTTATCACAGCAGTGTCGCTTTAACCATACTCAATTAAATCAACATCATCAATCTCAATTTAAAATGAAATACTCAATACCATACTTTAACTATTTTCAAGACAATAGCTAATTCACGATTACCAGATATAATGCGTATTTGTCAATATATACTCGTATTTGCAATTACAGCCCAGAATGCAAACGAGAAAAATGTTTTTCTATTATGGGGGCTCATTGGTCGAATGAAAGAAACCGACTAATGGTGTCTTCATTGGCCATTTTATAAATCAATTCTTATAGAAAAAAAAAACCTTACTTAAAAAGGTATCTTCACATATTAAGTATGATAAAACTGTTTAAGTATCTACTTGGATACATAATTTTTTAATTTAATTGTGCAATTATTACCAAAGGAAGATATTTTTAGTTTGTTTAACTTTTAAAGAGATCTTTAAAGTGTGAGTTGTATTGTATTGAAAATTCCAAAAGTCCTGAGATTTCATGAGATTTGTAAAATCCAGCCGCAATCCTGAGAAGAGTCTAAAACTCCTGAAACCTCAGATATATGGTAACCCTAGTTGATAGCCTCCTTCTTTTTGGCGTCTGCTAAAAATACATGTTAGGTTTATTAGGCTATTGAATAAAAGATGTGGTAATTTATTTGCGCGAATCTAAACTCTGAACCTCTAATATGGCGAAACAAGTTCCACCTAGTGCCTTGTTGATTATAAATATTGTAGTACCATTTAAATTTTAATACGCACTACCCACGAGAAAATTATTAATAACTGACGAAATACGAGTGCTCATATTGATTTTTTTACACAATCCCACCTGTTGAAGAAATATTAGGTAACCTCATATTCCACATGGAATTTCCACTTGTTTTTGTTATTACCTTTCTTATTAAAATGACTATATTTAATGGTGTTCGAAATATGTCGCAAGTATATCAAAATTAAATCGATCAGACAAACATGTATGAAACTTTTATGCCTCAGCTATATAATAAACTTGTTACTACTTGAATAATGTAGGCCTTATAAACTTTACTATAGGTTGTAAAAATACGGGATACACTGTAAAGTGCGAGGCATGACATTGAGAGCATTTTTATACGACAGTAAAACTGATGACAATAGCCGCATGCAGGACGAGACTAACTTGATACGAGGGTGGATTGAAAAGTACTCGGCCTAACCAAGAAAATAAACAAATACTAAATCAGTTATATTTTTATTTTTCTACATAATCACCATCAAGTTCAATACACTTTTGCCACCTCCCCTTCCAAGCATTTAGACCGTTGAAAAAAAATGATTCTTCCTTAGAGTCAAAATATGCGTCTACAGCTGCTTTGACCTCGTCGTTTGTCGAAAATCTTTGACCTCCCAAGTGCTTTTTTAGGTTAGGGAACAGAAAGAAGTCTGATGGTACCAGATCAGGTGAATACGGCGGATGCGGTAACAGTTCAAAGCCACAGTTGTGAATTTCAGCCATTGACTGTACTGGCGTGTGAACACGGGCGTTATCTTGATGAAACAGGACTTTTCTTCTGAGCATTCCTCGACGTTTTTCTTTTATTTCCTCTCGTAAACGACGTAGTAAGGTACAATAGTAATCAGAATTTATATTCTGACCCCTTTCAAGATAATCAATCATAATCACACCTTTCAAGTCCCAGAATACTGGAGCCATCAACTTATTTGCCGACAAAATCGACTTAGCCTTTTTAGGGGGTGGTGAACCAGGTCTTCTCCACTGTTTTGATTGTTGTTTTGTTTCCGGTGTACAGTAATGAACCCATGTTTCGTCCATAGTAACAAAACGATTCAAAAAATCATCTGCATCGGCTTCAAATAACTCCAAACAGTCGCGTGAAATAGTCAATCGCGTCCTTTTTTGTTCAACTGAAAGCAGTCGCGGAACCCACCTCGCAGACACCTTGTGGAAACCCAACTCGTTGACAATGATGTTTTGAGTTCGTTCATAAGAGATGCCTATAATCTCGGCTATCTCTCTAATTTTTAATCTGCGGTCTCCCATTATTAAATCAAGTACTTTTTTAATATTTTCGTCAGTAGTTGACGTCGAAGGCCTTCCAGAGCGGGGTTCATCTTTCACACTCTCTCTACCACGCTTAAATTCTGCTATCCATTTTTTGATGGATGAATATGATAGAGCACAATCGCCTAATTTACAGACCATGTCATCATGGATGGCTTTTGATGATAGCCCCTTCTTATGGAGGTACTTAATGACGGCACGCTGCTCGATTTGCTCCATTCGCGGAAATTATGTCCGATTAATAAATTTATAAAATCACAACTAATTATCGCACACGTTTCGAACTTCACACAATGAACTAGTCTGAACTGAACTAAATAATGTGGGTAGATTTGATTTTTAGAATTGAATGGATCTGTGTTAGGCCGAGTACTTTTCAATCCACCCTCGTAAATTATAACGCAGTTGCGTGGTTGTAGCCAAGGTTATCGAAATGCAAACGACCGTTTTGTGGCCTAGTATTAATTTATTAATTCATTACTGCCTATTAAATTTCAAATGCTATTAGAAAATACGCAGAACCTATATCTATACATCTATACAAATAAATAAAATTGAAGTGTCTGTTTGTAATGTCGAAATAACAGCTTTTTGCTATATACATATGAAAGTATATATGTTACATATAACAAAAACACGATTTTTAGCATTTTTGTCTGTCTGTCTTTCTGTCTGTCTGTCTGTCTGTTTGTTCCGGCTAATCTCCAAAACGGCTGGACCGATATTGACCGGACTTTCATTGGCAGATAGCTAATGTTATAAGAAGTAACTTAGACTACTTTTGTTTTAGAAAAAGAATTAGGGTTCCGCGCATAAAAATTAAAACCCATGAAATCCAATCATAATAAATTACGCGCGGACAAAGTCGCGGGGAACAGCTAGTATAATATAAAGTTAAAACAATTTATTAAGCAAAAATTGTTTATTGACGGTTATTATTATTATTATCCTATTAAAGAATTAATTATTGATATTAACCCTGGGAATGAGGTGGTCGCTAACATGCTGTTTCTAAGTGTTTTCATTTTTAATTGTACAACTAAATAAGTCCCGCTGGGATTCTGGCTGGTTCTTCCAAGGACAAAGGTTTTCCAAACCAACGGTGACAGCATAAATATTCTTGTTGTCTCTATTAAATAAAAATTATTCTATTTTGTTCTTATGCCGCACTTATACGGCGAATAATAGTCAAATCAATAGAACCTACCTCCAAACTTTTTACTGGTGAAAAGGTAAGTTTTATTTTCTGCTTAGGGTCCGTCTGAGCAGGTGCCACACTCCTTCCTATTTTTGACGCCTAGCAGTGTATACAATATGTAACAAAATCCCTGTGTGGTTCCCGTTAAGATAGTTATCAGAGTCAGTATTCAAATGTATAGAAATAACTTTAATTAAAAAAAAGTCGACCATATAAGAATTCAATTAAACTTAAATAAATTTTTATTTGCAAATTGTATGTGGTTTTATTGGCCAGGGAGTAAGAATATTGTCAAAGACACTGCTTTACCGGGCGTCTGTCCTGGATTAAGAATCAAAACACAGATGTGTTGCCACCGTTTAGGACTAAAATGGGAAACTACGTTGCTAATAAAAGGTTCTCTAAACTCACCATACGAAACACGGCATAAGCTGCTATTTCACGGTGGTATTCTGTGAGAGCGTGGTCCTATCCCGGTCGAGCCGACCCAATCGACACGCATATCCAACCATAATATAGCTGCAACATGGCTCTACCCCATAAAAATATTATTACACTAAGGTCACGCTATACTTATACACATAAACAGCGCCAGAATCCATACAAAAGCAGAAACAAAAATCGATATTATTGTGAAGAATAATAAAAAATCACTGTCGTACAAGCAGGCCAGTCAATAACGTGAATATAATTAGAAAAACAGCACATATATCGTACACATTAAGGTTGGTAAGATCGCAAAATAAATATACTTTACAACAACATTTTCCATTTCAGTACAGTTAATACTACTTTATGCAATAATGAACTCCCATGGTGTTACCAATGCTTACACGACCGTGACGATTCATGGCCGTTTCAATGTATTCGTTAATGCTACTCGTATAACTTATAGTACAGTTAAAATGGATTCTTCGAAAGACGAATCAAAAAAAAATTATTATTAACTAAATAGTTAAGGTTTTAGAGTTGATTAATTAACTACGATGATTTTTAGAATCTCATTTATGCATTATCTTATTTATGTATCGTTCGACAGTCTTTCATTAAAGCATCGTAGTGTGTGTGTCACATAATAACTAGTTTGTTTACAAAGCTTCACTTACTCAACACTTGATTGATGTATCACGATCGTTCCCAATACAATTACCTTCACTACAGTCTGCGCGCCTTTAATTGGCTTCCGCGTAAACCATAACTCTGTTGATGATATCGCAACACTTAAAATAAGTCCACTCCAATTTAACGGTCCTTATTTCGTTCTTTTTCAGACGAAAATGTAGATAGTTGAGAAGTAGGTTGCGTCTACTTTTATTAAAAAGTACGATGTCTATAGACCAGGCATCGCCACTGGTGCCGATCAAGCCGCAAGTCGCTCTACAGAATAGTGCGTTTATAAAGAACAGCCATAACCGGAGCAGTTTCTGTGGAGTGACACCTTCGCCGACGAATGGCAATGGAACGTTTAAAACATTTGCCGTGAATCGAAAGAGTTGGAGTGGGAATGTCACCATCCCACTGCAACAGTTCACACCAGATGTTGATACGAAACCGCATCTAGCAACCTTCCGGTCTGGAACTGGAACTTTCCCGCGGAACAGGGAGCGAAACAATAACAGCGCGTCCAACGGAATATTAACACCTAACGGGAACTCAGTGCAAACGCTGAGAGGAAATGAAGTGAGGAGGAGCGGATGCTCAAACGGCCGTCGCTACGCTGAGATCGGAAACTGGAGTAAAAGGTGAGTTGATAAGACAAAATCTAAAGTATCTTATAAATTATTTGTGTTTGATGTTCCAAAATAAAAATAAAAAATCTTACTCTTTTTAAATTTACTTAAGTTTTAAGAACAATTCGAAGGATAGACTAAAATAGAAAACTGCCTAAAATAAAAACAAATAAAACTCTTAAAATAAAATGAAAGTAGGCATTAACTCAAGTTGACTAAAACTTTTTAATTAAAAGTACAACGAACGAACGAACAAACTTCATATAAAAATTGTACAAGAATTTCCTTTTTGCAATCTTCGTGTACCAAATAACTTTTTCTTAAGACGACGGCTAAATATATTATAATGTTAGAGGAGGACATTGTTATTTTCCACGATGATCAACAACACTGACACAAATATCTGAGCTGATTCCCCAGGTAAATAAAAGTTGCTTAAAGGAGCACGTTCCCATGACGTTCAGTAGGTCTTATTTATTTTCTTTTTTCATCTCGCGTAATTTTGTAACAAGTTTTCCAATTTCATTCTCTTGTCGCTTTCATTTCCTCCCGTTCGCTGAGTCCCGTTCCCTTAATATTACTTTTATTAGCTGAAAACGTTTAACAAACATTGGATTCCAAATCTAATAAAGATTGAATTTTATTCAATAACGATACATTTGTACAAAATCATTTCATGTTCTATTTTAACATAATGCAAATTTATGGTTCCTTATTTTTTGATCCGATTAGACTGTTGGTGTTGCGAAAAAATTCTTAAAGAAGTTCTTAAAGACACTTAAAAAGTTAAAATACATTTATATTGAATTTTCAATATCGTGTATTTATATGCCATACTTCCAGTATATCTAAAGTAACCATAGGTATATTTATTACTTAATCACTATTGTCTTGATTTAATATATCATTAAATTGTTGCTCTACTAACGACGTAGTAGTTCTCGGCCTCATCAGTTACTACAGCCGTCCTAATGTTTACCGCATTCGTCTAATCGGAATCCTCATTATCTTTTATATGTTATAAGTGGAAAGTTTATCCATAATTCTCCTTCACTCAATTTGGGGCGGACTAAGTTGCTCGATAAGCCGACGTCCAATAATCTGACTCTTAGTACTACGGCTTTTTATTAGGGGTTGACTTTATCGCGTCGTGACTCGTCGTCTCTTAACAGTGACGTTATCGCCCTCCTATTTAGCGGTCTACCCGTCAGCGCCAATTCATTGCTTACGTTTACTACATCGCGCCAATTAATAAGTAACTGCTGAATATTGTCTTGTTAACGTTTTGTTATGTATTATGTTTATTGAACGACTTCGTATGTAATATTTTGTTATTTTAATAGGTTATATTTATTTTAGTTGTTATTAAACATGTAGTCCAATTTACCATTCAAAGCTCCGCGGGCAGATTTTTTTTATAGAATACGGTGACAAACGAGCACATAGCCCACCTGATGGTAAGTGGATGCTGTGGCCTATAGACCTCTATATTTATCCTCAACTAATAATCAAAATGCAGATGCGTTGTCACCCCTGAGGGCTAAGATGGAATGCCTCGTTTCCAGTAAAAAGGGTCTCTGGTTCTCTAAGCTGCTATTTTACGCTGGTATTCTGTGAGAGCGTGGTCCTACTCCGGAAGAGCTGGCCCATTTGTGCTACAGCCATAGCTGCAGCGTGGTTCTACCATGTAAAACTATTCATTAAACCATAAGCAATTCATTAAACCATAAAACATTAAACACTTTTCACGACTTTGCTGTTATCATATATAGGTAATGATAAAATAAATAAAATGATATATTGTAGTAAATAAAAATTATTTTAAAATAATATTAAGGTTTAAAAAAAACTTCAACAACACGCACTGATAAGCTGTGATGATCCTAGTGTGGACTAGGTCATAGTGATAACTGATAACTATTGTATTGCCCTCGGCTATTAATACGTTTTCAATTGTTTTCAATTGATTTGATTATTGAGACAACTACTACATTAAAAATTCCATTATATACATTCATACATACAGGTTAATCTAATATAAAGTGTGTAGTAAATAATATTAAAGTTTATAAAAACTTAAACAAAACAGATCTACACTAGTGAGAGTTATATATATATATATATATATATATATATATATATATATATATATAAGTATGAGAATTAGGAGAATATAGGTCATTGTTATGAAATTATTGTACTGTCGAAAATTATTGTATTGTTGAAAACTGTACAAAATTCCATAACATTCATACTTAAAGGTGAAGCCAAACTAAAATAAAGCGTGTAAAACAGTGAGACTAATCCACAGAAGCAATATGTCCTATGTGAATGTTACGAACGATATTAGTTACCGAAATTTAATAAACATTTTTCGTTATAAAAGTAGCTCACTTCATTGTATACTATTAGTTTTACATACAATACACACAATACAATAATCGAGATCTTTATTTTTATTTTGTTGCATGGACTTAGTCACGTCATTATAATAGATTTATTTCCACATAACTGCTGAACTTTATTTTTATAGACGGTGGGACTCTTTTTCTGTCAAAGAGTCCATCTGAGTAGGTACCACTCTCTTAACTACCTTTGCCACAAAATAGCAACGCCTGCGCTGCTGTGGTCCCGTTTGAATGGTTTAGAGAGTTATTATAATTACACACTATGAGGAATCCAATCTTAGGCTCGTATTACATTACTCAGCTAAAGTACACGCACTTGAGTATAATCTTGAGGCTATGATCTTATTAATAAACATATCTCAAGATGCAGTGTTTAGTTTTACGATATCAGCTGAGTGCCACACAGATTAATAAACGAAACTCGACTCTCAAGTGTGTGTACTTGAGTGCAAGTCACAGAACAGTACTCCTAAGTACAGCGTTTTGAGATACTGTTTATATGTGTTTATTAATTAGCAACGATCTTGAGATGCTGATATCGTAATGAGGACGTATCAAATGACTACGCACTTGAGTTCGTCGTTGAGTAACGTTTATTAATAGTCCTTAGTCCTTCTGTAGCCTTCTTTCTTTGTGTCCATTTAAGGTGTCCATGGACTGCAGTAGCTATATACGGTGGACCGCTAGCTCATTTCCCATTTCATCATCATCATCATCATCATTGCGGCTCTTCACAAGAACACTGCTGAACCCAAGTAATGCGTCTAAGCGCGCTCCTGAACCACCTGTATCCATCTATCCATTATTTGTCATTTCAGTTTCATTAAAATGGTAATAGGTTTTGTTCTTCGATACTTCATTAATTTTAAACCCATTTGAGTAAACTAAAAATGTCACAAGTTCTAGACATCTTGAATGTTGTCTCAATAGTAACATCAAAAACTTTCCGAGCCCAGGGTTGGAATTTCTTCTTTAAATTTATATAGGACTATACCTGAAGTATAACCCATAAAAAACTAAACTATTCATACTAGACATTAGAGAAAATAATGTAATTGTTGCAAGGAACTCTTAGAAATGAGGGAGGCTTGTGCCTGTGACGTATATAGGCTGTAACTCTAACTTTAAGGAACTCTGTCGTTTATTTTCTTGGTTATGTTTTTAAAAGTTTATAAGTAGTTTGTTTGTTTCGTATAAGTTAATAATAAATGCAATAAAATCCTGATTATTTTGTTAAGATATGTAAGGCAGAAAGGAAGATAAGAAAATCAGACCGAAAATCTTCCAAATGTTTACACCCCCCAGTATGCTCGTAACATCAGGATAACATCATTGTATCCCGACCATGGAAAACTTTTTACGACTCCTATATAGAGTTCTACGTCAACAGGCCGTGAAAAACCACGGAAGGAAATCACAAAACACGGTGGGGAGCCCATTATAGGTATTGTAAGGTGCATTTACATTTTCGCTTCACTATTTAAAACTCCGAACAAATCATTAATAATAAAAAATTAAAAATTTTGTACTACCGACTTCAATATAAATTGTTAATAATAACTGAAAAGCTATTGGTTAAACCATGACCTAATTTATACGGACCAGCTTTCAAATGAAAAGAGAATCATCGAATTCGGTTCACCCAGAAAAAGTTATGAGGTAACAAACAAATAAAAAAAAATTAAGTTGAATTGAATACCGTCTCTTTTTTTAAGGCGGTAGAAAAATTGCGATAATTTACATGTAAACATATATTTATAAGAAACTATAGTAAACTAAACAACACCTACAGCAACGGCGTAGCGAACTTATTGCTTCATTCTTCATTGGGAAACATAAGCTTACACGTAAAATTATTAAATACTAGCGAACTGTCCCGGATTTTCCTGTGTAGAATCTATTAATGTGGTGGTGTTCTTTCGATTTCTCAAAAAATATGTTCAAGTTTCTCGGAGCCTAGATCTCTTCTGGCATTGCTTTGTATCTGTTCATGAAATATCATTATATTCGGTTCAGCCATTCCGAAGATTAGTAAGGCAGTTACTTCGATATTACAGACAGATAAGAAAGTTGTAGTCATAACTCATAAATATAATTCATATTAGTGAAATAATGCTGTATTCACCTATAATCCTGTGCCTATCTAATTAATTAAATTGGGTATCTTAATTAAATAAATCTCTTTGAATCAAACCAAAAAAAAACTTTACGAGTACATAGTTCTAAACGCTTTTTCTTTCTTACGATTATTACTGATTCATTAAGGCAAATTCTTGTTCACACACCTCTTGTAGACGTGTCACTTGAGCATCTCTCTGGACTTTATTTTACACCTTCTTTAATGGATTTTTATGTTATAAAATAACACCGTTATTAAAATACACGTGGCACTTTACAACATAAAACTTAAGTTGTATAGTCCCGCGTGACAATGGTTGCTCAAAAGCATCAAAAACGTCGGGATTTAAAAATAAGTAGAATTAAACGCGATAAAATTCGTAAAAGTAGTTTTTTTCAACGTATTCATTTACAATATTGTTTTACAGCATTCTACTTTGCAAATTGACATGTAAAATTAAATATTTTAAAATATTATGTACATGT